CCCTCCCAAGGAAGAAAGTCTTAAAACTATATCTGGTTTTGGAATTCTTGCTCCTATGGCTGGCTTAGCAATATCAGTACCTGTTGACCTCTGCCCATTCCGTTCCAAGCTCCTTGAACTGGGTACGATCCGAGGGCGAGTCTGAAGGCCTGACGGATTGCGTGTAACTCTGAAGGTAACCAGACACACAAAAACGCTGCAGACGTTGCGCAGCTTTCCCAGAATGAGGTGCTCCTTAGGGGACCTCCGTCTGTCAGTCCTGAAGTGCTTTTGGGCGTCACTTGGCCAGGACGGAGGTCCACGAAAATCTGCCGAATCCGAGTTAATACCAGAATCCTTCGGCGAAAAACCACGGCAGGCGATCATGCAACATCCGCCTCCCAATCGATGATCCTCCCAATTACATCACTCCGCCTATGAATCGTCAGCTTCGACATTCGCTAAGATCCCAAGCTCTTCTACGGCTTCAGGGTGTTGAAGGCCGGAGGCTACAAATCGCACGACGACCTGCTGACTGGATGCATTAAACCGGTGAGGACTCTGTATGATTCGCAGCTGGATGGGGCATTGCCAACTGTCCTTTCAAGCCGTGTGTTGTGCGCTTTGCTTGCTGCTGATGCTGGTTTTGGTCGCGGCCACAAGGGCACTATTCATTTCCGTGGCTCCTGATGGTTGTTTGCTTGTTGGTGCAGCTGTCATTCTGTTGCTCCTGATGCCGCTGCTGCCTATGCTGGTGCTGTTGCGCTTGTGAATTCAAAGGAGACTTCTCCTGTTGCGTACCAGCTAAACACGTCCTACTCTGCCTCTGCACTGTTGTGCTTGATCGAGTTGCTGTGAGATGCTGGGTACAATCCCCCACCCGTGGCTTTGCGATCCGGTGTCGATCCTCTGCTCAGAGGGAGTGCTTGGTGGAAGGCAGATCGCCTTGCAAGCTGCGATGTTCGGAAACCGCGACTACGACCCTCCCGCGTCGTATGAGTAGCGTAGTAGTAGTAGTAGTAGTCGCCGCCGTGGTGGTGTAGCAGTACCAGCAAAGGCGAGAGGAGTAGTATTGGTTAGTGGTAGCGGTGATGGAAGTGGAAGCGGAAGTGGTAGTCGTAGTAGTAGTAGCAGCAGCAGCAGCAGCAGTAGCAGAAGCAGTAGTAGAAGTAGAAGTCAAAGTAGTCACAACAGGACTGTGCTCGCATTCAATATTCCGTATTCTGTGCTTCAGGGTAATGTCTTCAGGGCATCTCTTCCCACTGCCTCCAAAGCTCGCTGGTGGCAGCTCGGGCTCACCTGCGGAGCTTTGTCGAGGCTTGCGTTCGCGCTTCACATGCCATACTGGAATTGGCCGAAATCTCTGGAACCCACAACTCGGCATACTGCCTCTGCATCGGCTGTTCCTGGACCTCAACCTTCTGCATGGGAGAGCATGCCTGCATTTGCGAACATCTTCGCCACGACGCCACCATTGCGGCGCAAGGTCGCGGGTGGCCCTGCTTCGACGACTTTGCCTGGGTTGAAAGTGGGAAGGCATTTCGGATTTTGGGCTTGGCCAGTGTAGGCCCCTTCTGTAACACTTCAGTTTTCTGTACTTTGAACGGAGAAGACGTGTTCGAAATTGTTATTTCAACTATCGGCCTCAAGGCTTCTGAGCTGTGTGACATAGCCATGCATCATGGCCCGGAGAGCGCACAGAAAGGAAGCCTAAGCCCGACGTGCCGACATCAACCCCCGGGCGACTTCAAACCTACAAATCAATGCACAGACCCCAAACCCTGAAACCTGAAGGCGAAAGCCAAAATGCGGTGGCCTCCCTAGCTGCAGCCATGGAGCCTTTGTCCATGCACACCAGTAGGTCGGCGTCAGCGATGGTCGACCTCGTAGGACGATTGGAATTACGACTGCTATCATTACTCGTTAATACTGCCTTTAACATGCAAAAATGAGATTTCACTAGGTTAGAGTAGGCTAAGTATCAGTGTAGTACTAGTATAATGCTGGAACAGTGTAGTATATTATAGTTTTAGTACTCGCCGTAGTACATTAACTTAAATAATAATATAATAGTGTAGTATATATTCGTATAGTGTAATATGGTAGGGTATAGTACGTATAGTACAGTGTAGTGTCGTGGAGAGTTGTGTAGTAGTGTAGTGCGGTGTAGAGTCGCGTAGTGTCGAGTGAAGTGGCGTGGTGTAGTATCGTACAGTATAGTATAGCATAGTATATATTACATATATATATATATAGCATAGTATGGCAAAGGACAGAGTGCAGCGTAGTAGAGTATGGTAAAGAACATAGTGCAGTGTGGTATAGTTAAAGTGTATAGTAACTACGGAGTGGGATGGTATACATAGCACGTTGGCATGTGCCGCACCTCGAAGCTTCAAATTCTTTTGGTGCCGTATATCATAGCGGAAACCTGATAAGGAACTCTCAGCAAGCAGTATTGCATCCTGGTCAGGCTTCTTTCTTTTTTAACGAATGCCGACAGAGTCACAGCCGGTGCGCGATGATCAGCAGCGTGGAGCCAGTAAAGCAGGTCCTGAGCCTTGGTCTACCCCATCAACTTTTGGTTTTTTTGACACTCACACTCGGACGAGCCTGGCAAGGTCCACCACGATACTGTCTTCAAGATGCATTAACAGAGGCCCCTAAGTAGGTTTTGGTTTAGGGTTTAGGGTTTTGGTATTACTTTTTTTAGGTCTTAATTTTGTCTTATCGATTCAGAGCTGTGGGGCTTTGTGTTTAGAGCCCGGGCCATAGCGCTGCCTGGATGAAACGCATGTAGGCCTTGTCTGAAACCAACAAGAGAACATGCTCTGTTAGAATAAAACCTTTGGAAGTAAACCTGCACTAAATAAAAATAGGGACTGAGACGGATGAAATAAAGTTCCCAAACATCACATTTGATTGCTGGCAAGCAAACCTGTCACTCCGAAGCCTTTGCTTTGGAGTTTGTTGGGTTTAGGGTCGGCGATAGAGTTCTGAATTGCTGCATACAAACGTTTCCGTCCACAGAACATGATTGTCATTAGATTCATTAGATCCTTGTCCTTTTTTCAGCTTTTATTTTTATGCACGTCGCAGATGAGGCAGAATCATTCGGGAGTGCGGCCTGACAGCTCCGAGCTCGGTTTGCAGTTTCGGACTCAGGGAGTTGTGAACCGCCCGGGATTCTTTCCGACCCCACATCCAAACACCCAAGTCCTCAAGAAGGCAAAAAAAACCTAAACCCTAAACCGCAAAATCGACTCGAACGGCCCGGGGACGTTTTCTGGAGCGTGGCATCCGTGAGCGCATCGATGTTGGCCGACGCCTCGTCCAGGAGCATCACGCGGGCCTTGCCAAGATCCAAAAAGGGGGCCGAAAGGATCCCAGGTTGAACCTAATATAGGTGCCTTAATGATTAGACTAGGGTTTTGGGGCCCATTAATTATACTATAATTATAATAAGGAGCCCCGTAAATAGTATTGGTAATTTTTTCGGCCCCTACATTATGGCCCGGCCCACATGAAGAGCTGAGTTTGTCCTGCAAGGCTTGGGCCCTGAACCGAGTATACCTGACGGGGCATCTTAATCGTCAAGCACGAACAGCAAACCTTCCCAATCTCTGCTATCTTAGATTGTGCCCACCCACAGCCTTCCAAAAGGACCCTTATAGTAACCTTATGGACCCAAAAGTAAGCCAATGGTGACCGCTATGGTGGGCGTACATAGCAACTCTCGTGTACACGATTAGAATCCTTGGACAGCCCGAAGCTCCTGACGCAGCAAAGAGCGGGCGAAGCAAAGCAGCTGGCGCTGGCCGACCTCGCTAGGGTTTACTGCCGTCACCCGTGTCGGCCAAGGGCAGGCTTTCTTGCACCCCCCGCTTTGGAAGGCCGCTATAACAAATAACAAAGAGGGTGGGTCTGGGTTGCCCAGCTATGTGGTGGTTGATGGCGTAGGATCGGAGAATTACGACGCCTCAGGCGCCGTAGAAAGTTGTGCCTCAAGGCTTTGGGACGACATGTGGCCTGGCAGGTGGTATCTCAAGGAGCATGGCGAGGGGATCCGAGCTTTTGGAGCCCTGAGCCTCTGAAGATTCACTTCTCAGCTTCTATATCGGCTTGAAACTCTACTCATGCTAGTAGCCGTGAGCCGCCACGAGTAGATAAACCCGGGCTCGACGGCACTGATTAGTCCTCCTCCAGCTTGGGTTGATCTCACAACGCCCAGATATCGCTAGGGCTTACTGTATCAAGAAGTATGGGGTACTGTCATAGTATGGAATTATAGTCAAGGAATGCGAAGGAAAAAATGGTAGTTCTTCAGGCATTAACGCTAGAAGCTGGTCCCAGTCTGTGGCCACCGGTTGAAGGTGTCGGTTTTGGGCCACGTTCCTGGCTTCGGGCCAGATACCCCCTCGAAACGAGCGGCACTATCCTTCATCATTGTGAGCACGACCATCATCAACAAGACTATCTCATTCATCACCTTCCCCATCAGCGTCACTAGCTATCACACCGTGCCCGAAAATCCGAAAAAGTATCACAGCCCTGCGCTCCCACTACGTCGAGTTTCCGCGTCTAGTTTAAAGCCTCAAGCCCTTAACCTCACCTGTAAATCCTAAGTCCTATACGCCCTAAGAAACCCTAAACCCTAAACCCTAAATCCCATAACCCCTACGCCCTAAGAAATCCATTCCGTTTCCGTCAGCTCGACTGCGCCCTGAGCGGCCGAGAAGTTGGCGCCACGGCCCTGAACCGTGGAATCCAGGCCGTCCTGTGGGGAGCTCTGCTTTGGCCTTTAAAGGTCGGGGTCCCTATAACAGGGCAGTTGTCAAAATTAGGGTCCCTTTTGGGGTACCCTAAATAATAGGTGCCGTATGATAATAAGGACCCAAGAAGGGACCATAATTTTGACAACCACCCAACACCCATATAAATACCATACTCTTCCTCCTATATAACACCCCATATAAATACCATACTCTTCCTTCTATATAACACCCCATATAAATACCATACTCTTCCTCCTATATAACACCCATATAAATACCATACTCTCCTGCAGGGCTCAGAATACCGACACGAGCGTCGGATAGCTGACACGCCCCAGTACGACAAAGTCGTACGATTTTAGGCCTCCTCGCGCCATCGTTCTGCACTCCCACAGTCCGGCTTGGCATAGACGTCTCAGGCTACGCCGTAGCAAAGCCAGGAGGCTTCTCCAATCTGGAGGTGTGCTTTCCACCCGGCAGTGTCTTGCCCTGTCCGAGCACCATTCGTGCACTGCAGCGGTACGTGATCGCCTGCGGAACAGGTTGATGGGGAGGGGCCGCAAGAACAACGAGGCGGCCGACAGCAGACCATGGAAGCGAGGTTCAGGTGGATATTCTGGAGGCTCGGATGTGCAGCTTTGGCGGGGAGCTTGGAAAGCATCACCTCGCAGCAATGGCCAGTCCAGCCGAAGCCAAGACTTTCCAGCCTACGATGCGGATTGGCGACAGGCACCTGGAGTCATGGAGGTCAGGGGACCTCCTCAGCCACGTCCACAAGCTGGGGGGCTTGTGCAGGATGTGCAGCAAGCCATCAATTTTGCTCGGCGCCTAGAGCAGAAGCTGCAGAAGATCCAGAAGGAATTGCTGCAGCGCGGACAGGCTTGGGATATGTGGGTGCACAAGATGCGTGCCTCCTACGTCAAGGAACAGGAAAGACATGTGGCGGAACAGAAGCGTCTGACTACCGAGATCAAAGACTTGGAAGCACAGACCAGAGAAGCCTATGCCATGGTACAGTTTTCGGCTCTCCATCAGTCACAACAGCGGGGCCCTGCCCCAGCACCACCACCGTTGGACTGGGAGACAGCAATGGAGGTCGATACCACCATCTCGGATGCAGAGATGCAGACGGAACTTCGTCGAATGATGGCAAGGGCTGCAGAAGCGCCTCCTGTCACACCTCAGCGGGGAACGGGAGCCACACCCATGACCCCGTCAAGGGTGCAGGTGGAACAGGAGGATGTGATCGGGTTAGGTGTTCTGCCTACAGATCCCTATCCGAGCCCGCCCGGACTGGCAGGGCCACCAGACCCAAGGTCTTCAGCGGCACTGGAAGGACAGGCCCCGGCCACTCTTGCCGAGAAGCTTTCGGGCAAGCGACGAGCATACCGGGCAGCTATGTCTCCCTTTGGAGCCACCCAGGACCAGAGTGCATCCCACAAGGAGCAAGACATGGTCATGCCAGAGATCCCCACAAGTGCTGCGGCAGCGGCACTCATTCACGACGACGAGGACGAGGAGCTCATCACGGGTGCCCCCTCTCCCGGCTTCGGGAAGCTGGAGTAGGGACTGCCGATCAGATTTTACATGGCAAAGGACAAGTGATTCCAGTGAGCCCTTGTAGGCTTGAATCTATGTCGCAAGCAGGGCAGCTTCGTTGGGACGGCAGGCTGGAGGGTCTGCGGAGAATCTGGACTTCATTGGTGAAGTCCCTTTTCCTGCTCCTTCCCCTCGGTCAATGCATTCCCACTGGAGCTTCTCTGTGTGCAGACATGCGATTCAGGCGGTTTCACCTCTGTTCTGAGCTGCGTCTTTTTCCCTCGGGGTTTGGGCTTCACTGGCGTTGTTCCGGCCTTTATCTCTACCGCAATGGATTTTGCCAATATCTGTCGGCCCTTTCCCTTTTGGACTTTAACGTCCTTCTTCATGACCTGCATTTGAGGTACCGTCCTCTCTCCTCGGTCCATCATTTTCCATCTTTGATTTTTGGGAATGGTGTCGACCTTCGCCACTTCGCTGCATGGGGTTTCGCCCCCTGCCCTTTTTTCAGTGCAGAATCCAGCAAATCGAGTGCGTCCAACACAGGCATCGGTGACTCAGGGGCCTGGGCCTCGTTTTGCTGCACTACAGCCTTTTTTCACACTTTCGACTTCGGCCTGAGCCGTTTGTCCTACTGGTTCCGTTTGGTTCCCCAAGTACCTTTTCTGCATCGAGCGCCCAACATGTGTATCGGTGGCTCAGGGACACAGGCCGATGCAGAAGGTACCCATCTTGTTGAGCCCTCCTTCGTGCCAGCCACCACGTCAGAGGCGAGGCTTCTGCTTGCCTGGATTTCTGCCCAGGCCGTGTCAGTTTTGTTAGGCACCCTTCTTGCACTGCAGTTTGCATTATACAGGCTGCTTCTGCGGCAACTAGGCTTCCACAAGTCCCCCCTCGGTAGGTTCCTCCTTTTAGGTGGAATAGGTCCTCCTGATGGAGCCTTACTACCAGTAGGGCGTCTTGGCTCCACGACTCCCATCATCTCGTGGCAAGCTACTCGGAGGAGCCATCCAGGCCAGTCATATAGAGGTCAACGAGGCAGCAGGGGCTGGTCTTGGCTTCTATGCAACTTGGTTCTTGCTAGTCTTCCAAGCCAAGTTTTTGCAGCACCGCCCAGCCTCATCACTGCTTTGGCCGCTGCTGATCGTATTATCTCAGGGCTGCCCGAGCCTTTGCCACAGTTGACTGGCACCTCCTCAGCCAGGACAGGTGACGACAGACAACAGCTCTACTACCCGCCTCCGGGTGTCGACACCGTGCCATTACCCTTACCCCAGGGACATGTAGCTGGAGTTCAGCCTCGGACCTGGCTCGGCGTGGAAGTGTACGCCCCTGGTTTTAGGAAGGTTTCCTTTGGCCTCAGGGTTGGGGTATGCCCCTCTGTAATCGCCACCATGAAACAGGTGACAAAGCACTATGTTACCTGGCACAGGTATCATGAAGGCGTTGCCCCTATTAAACCGCAGAGGTATGGAGGTATCGCAATGTTTGTTGCATTTCCCACCTGTCTCAACCGCCTTTCACAGCGAGCTGTGATCTTTGACCTCTCCCATGTCCACGGACATTACTTTGCAGATGTGCTTCCCGAGAACTGTACCTGGGACACCCTTTGCAATAAGATAGGAGACTCCATTGGAGGCGAGCCCTCTGAGTGGTCTATTTGGGTTGGGCCCCAGCAATACAAAGTACAACCATTCACTTCTTTCCAACCCGAACATGGAGACGTTGTGCTTGTGCTGCCTGCAGATGTTGGTCCCCGCAGTCCTGTTACAATCAGTCAGCTCTTCGCTGAAGGCTCACCGTGGGCCTCACTGCACCACGTCTTCTCCGAGCACATCCCACCAGGACTAGCCATCCATTTGCGAGGTAAGGTGCTTTCCTTTGCAGGTCAACACCTCAATGACGCCAATCCCCGCTTCAGGATTGGACAACTCTTAGGGACTACAGATGACGACCTTTACCTTCGGACATTTGCCGGCATTTCTGACCTAGAGGTCGCAGGTGAGTCTTGCCATTGTTTTGTTGTAGCCGCATCAGCGGCATGCCTTCAGGCGACTTTTGGCAGTACCCCGTTCACCATTGCCTTTGATGCCAGGCCTATAGGTGCAGGTTTCAGAGTCCTCCACACCACCTCGATTGAGCATACTCCAGCTCTCTTTGCTGCGTGTGTGGGCGTCCCCGCAGCCGACAGCCATTGTCTTGACTTCAGAGTTGTTACGTCTGCCACGCCGCCTGCGTTGGCATGTTGCCTCGTTGAGGTTACCTGGCAGGAGAGGGCTGGTCGCAGGCCGCCCATTATGCCTTCTGACACCAGGCCCCCCTGGTCTGCAGCCATAGCTTCGGTTATCAGACGATGTACCAATGTCAATGCCTTGTCCTGGAGTCGGCTAGGAGACCCCGTCCCACGTGACGAGCCCGATCGTGACAGTGCTCATTCGGACGCTACGTCTAGGACTTCAGAGCAAGTGCCAACTTACATCGCGCGTTTTCTGGTGCTGTCTTGGCACCATTCAGCACAAAGTGTCAGCGTTCGACTTCCAAGACCGGCTACTACACAGGCAGCCTTAGATGAAATCGCCTTTGCACTTGAAGACGATCTCTACAACGTCTTTTCCCAGCTAATTCCTACACCGCAGCAGCTTTCTTCCCACTGGGGCACAGTAATTGCATTGCCAGCATGGGCACACGAAGAGCCTTTGTGTGTCTTCGACCTCCGTGCAATTGACGGCAGAGTCTTTGTTGTAGACATGCCGTGCCACACCACCTATGCTGATCTGGTGAGGAAAGCTGACCTTGACCCAGGTTTACGGTATGCGATATACCCTTTCGGGGCAGGCCAACCGCTTGAGGACGAGACTGAAGTACCTCTGTCCGCATATGGTGTCATAAGCTTCTGCGAGCTAGATGCGCCGATCCCCCATGCACCCGACTTGGTCTCAATGTTAGTCAATCTTGCACAGTGGGATGAAGAGTTCCCCATGCCCACGGATGGGGCATGGAACCGTGCTCAACAGGTTTGCCTCGTGCACGAAAATGGTATGCGAGGCTTTACGCTCCTTCCAGGCCGTGCAGAGCACTACCCTTTTGATGTATCCAACGCCCTTCAAATGCCGTATCACTGGACTACTATCCAGTTTGCGCATCCCCCGATGCGGGACTTTCTCATCGGTGGCAGGCTTTGCAAAGGGGTAGTCAGCGTTACAGACCGCATACCGAATGTTCCGATCCCTCCGCGCCGCCTGGGTCCGGATATTCGCACCATCATAGCGGATTGCAGACCCATTCTTATGGGCTTAGAGCAATGGGTTATTGTCGATGCTGAATGCTCTCACACTGAACTTGTTGAGCATTATGAACTGTGGGCCCCGGCGGAGCATCAGGTGCAGATAGATGGAGCCCCTATTGAAGGAGACCAACTACTTGTTGTGCCCGGCCATGTGCTCACCGTTCAGTTTGTTCCCGT